GAGAATTAACCAGTTTTATTTGTTGACTAGAATAAACAAAATTCATATTTTTGAGAATTAGATAAAGTTACTCTTTTGGAACCAATAAAAGAATAAAATATTTAATGAGATGAGTGAGTGCAAAAATTAGATGGTTGTGTATGTAAATATATATTATTTTTAATTTATTAGTGATAAGGTTAATTTATAATAGAAGTTTTATTTTTAAAGTTGGTTACAAGAGTTTAGTTATTAAATAAAATTCTTGATTCATGTCTTATTTATAATAATCTCAACTACATAAGCTTCTTTGTCTACATTCTTGTACTTTTGTTTTAATAACCTTTGTATCTATTAAAAAAAAGAATTCTTTATTTCCCTGTCACTTAATAAAAATGAACACCTCTTACAAAATAATTCTGTCACACTAATAATTTTAATTCATTATCTTTTACTAATAATAAATTTAATTCTTTATATTCTTTATTATTATTTGCTAAGTATAAAATTTAATTCTTTATCATCTCTTACAAAAAATCAATTCTTTATCCAATTTTTTTGTTAAAAGTACTTTAATTTAATAGCATTGCACAATTTTTATTGGACAACTATCGCGTGAAAGTCACGGGAGTGCACTTAGAGAGGGAGTTTTATATAGATGGGAATGAAAAAAAACCATGCAGTCCAGGGGGAAGGGGGTGTGCACTTATCTCTAATTCCCAAGCTTGGGAATGAATGAAAGTGTGCACTTAGAGGGGGTTGACTGTATAATCTAAATAAAAAAATCACTTTATTAAAATAAAATAATTATTTTTAAGCATTTTCATATCCATCTGATTCATAAAATTCAACTATGCTATCTGACTTATTTGATTCATTATCACTTCCTCCATCACCTTCCGTAATTTCATCATTTAAATTCCTTTTCACTTCTGATAATTCATTATCTTCATTTTCCCAATATAATTCATCTTCATCTATATCAATACTACAACATTTTGTGGAAACTTTGGTAGATTTTTTAAGGTGTTGTTAACAATAATTTGCAAGCAATTTATGTGGACAATAATTACACTTTGTAAAATGAGACTAAATTTACTAAATGGAGGTATAAAATAATTTTTTATAAAAAATTTGTGTATCATTGTTTATTATATTATTTGTTAGGACATTATGTGCAATCCAAATGCTAACCATATGTGCACATTAATATCACCTTATTTATCAAAATATGATAAATATATTTAAGATCCTGGATTATTATTGAGATAATATCCAGGCTATTAGTAAATTTTAGAAGCCTTACCCAAAATTTACCCTTTTAGGCATGTAACATTTTTCTCCTTTATCTATTTTAGCATATAACATGTCAAAAATTAAAAGATTTACCCATGTAAGACATGTCAGGGTTAGAAAATTGACTGGTCCATTTGAGAACTGATGGAATTTGGACTAGTCCATTTCCATTAATAAATACTAAATATGGTTAAAATGTTACACTAATAGGCCCAATGGATCACCAATGGACCATAAATTTGCTAACCCTGAGACATTTAACTTCATATGCAACCATATGAAAAACTATCCAATATATTTTTATCAAAAAACCATATTAATATAGTTGTTGATGTTTTCACAGATTCTTAATAAACCCATATCTGAATCTAATATATTATTATTATTTCCAAGATAAAATAAACATTATTTAAAGTCCTGAAGATTATGATCATTTATGGTATTGTGAGAATTCAAAATATGCAGTTAAACAATTAATAAAAAAATTTTGAATTCACTCAATCACCATTGGATAATAACCATGACTATAATAATAATATTTATAACAATGTTAAGGTTAATTACGTAGATATACAAACAATAATGTGTGAAATAGATCCTTATTTCAACAATCCTATATCTTGTATATTTTTTATGAGAAATCTCATAAGAGAAGGAACATATGTATCAAAACTCAAAATCCAAAGGGAGGAAAGCAGCTCTGGAATTGTTAAATATGATTCAGGAACTTTGAAAAAATTTGGAAGTTCAGGTAAGGTTGCTTGTCGAAATTCCTCCAGAAATCAATCAGCAGGGTTTTGGCAGGTTACACATTAATTGTTTATTAGATTTTGGCAGAGTTTCGCATTTTGAGGTTTTGCCATTTCGGCATAGTTTCAATAGGATTTTTGATAAGATTTAATATAGTTTTGCCATGGTTTCAGTAATTACTAAGGAGGTTTTGTCCACAACCTTAAGTCCAGGTGCAAGGAAATCATTGAATGGGAACATTCAATTAGGATATCATACAACAAACATTCTCAAGCCATTTCATCCATCCAAATTTTATTATATATTTCTGTAAAATTAAAATAATCATTTTTTATTTTCATCATTTTCATCTATACTTGGTGGACAAAATGTTTGCATCCAAAATTTCTTTTGAACTTATTTCAAAATTATACTAATTAAAATATTGTAATTTTTATATCATTTGAAAGCTCTTATTCTTGCGAATATGTTTGTGACATTAAATTTTGAAGTTTTGTCATGAAAAAGATAAAAATAAAAAATAAAAAAAGATGTAAAAATAATGAAGTGTTGATAGATAAAAGGCTTATTTTTTATTTCAAAAAAAATATTATTTAATATCTAGTTGGCCAACCATTGAACATTTTTTCAAATTGGCCTGTAGATAAATTTCTAGGTCATCTTGCAGAATTTTTTCTTTAAGCAATTTGTTCTTTTGTTAATGGCATATTTAATCATGACAAATATAAAAAAAATGTAAGGAAAAGTTAAAGCTATACATGCAGCCCAAAGTATTTTGACACTGTCATAAAGGAGTTACACATGTCATAAAAGGATATTACACTTATGTTTTTAATAGTGAGTGCCGTAATTAATTTCTACTTTCTACCATCAAAATTGAAATAATTTTGATCATTGAAATCACCAAACCAATTTGGTAAAATTGATTAAAACGCGTCGTTACACGAATTTACTTGGTCTCATTTTCAATTTTATATAAAGTGGGCACTTACTTTGACCTTGCATAACTCATTCAATATTTGAGATTAAAAAATTTTAACCACTGATTTTGAAAGCTCTATTGTTGTTTAATAAAAATCAGTGACTCGAAGTTTTTCTTTATTTACTTTTGCCATATTTGGTAAAATAATTTTTATTATACTACATTTTTGATTATAGATGATCTGCGCTGCATTACAGTACACACTATATATATATATCGGTCCTTCTGTTTTGGCTAAAAAAAGACCGCTATAGAAAGATAATGTAGTACAATATTTTTTATTTTTAATATATAGTACGAATTACGAATACATTATTTACATTAAATATTTTGTGAGTAATACAATTTTTGTGTGTTTCAAAATTACCATTGATTTGATGCAAATTGGGTTCTTTGTGTACATTTTTGAAGGAATGTTAGTTCATTAACATCACGAAGTCATGAGGCTGTTCTTATGTCATATTTACAACTATATTATTAATCGATATTATAGCAAGTCATAATGGTGTTATTATGATTCTTCGATATAACATGAAAGTGTACAAAGTAATAATGATATATGTATAAAGTAATGTTATAAAGATATGAAATAAGGATGTTGGATATGTGATGTATTGTTGTCATAATAATAAACAGATTGTAACAATAAGAGAAATATAAGTGCGTTCAGATTATATCTAAATAATACGATCATAATTTATTCGTAACTAATTGATATTAATTTGATGTGGTATAGAAAATTTCCTATTTAACACTAAAATAAATTTTTTGTTCAACAAATAAATAATAATTGGCTAATTTTGACGCTCAGAACGAATATTAGAGTCTCTATTCGTAATACGAATTTTTATTTCTTCGTGTATTCGTTTATTCGTTTATTCGAATTATTCGTTTATTCGTTTATTCATTTTATTCATTTTGTTTATTTATTTGTATTATTCGTTTTATTCGTTTCGTTCGTTTATTCGTTTATTCGAATATTCAAATTCATAACGAATAAACAAATAATTGGGATAAACCTTATTTGAATAGAACCTCTAATACTAATACTAATGCTAACAATAAACGATTAAGTCGTGTGATTTTATAATCAAAAGGAAATCATTGCTATTTTTGAATTTAAAAATTTGCAATTCATGATTCACGAGATTCATGCATATTATCAAATCGTCCAAAAATCCCCTTGATTTCGATGAGTGTAACCCCCTTAATGACGATGATGATTGTGGTCACTACAAAACAAAAAATTAAATTCTTGTTTTTTCACTTTCACAATGCCTGTTGTTTGTTTTCATTAATCCATTAATTAATTCGTGATCCGTGTGACAATTGCAAAATTTTGCCGATCATTAATATTATTTTTGTGGAGATAATAATAATTTTAGGAATCTGAATGTCCCTCACATGGCTCAAAACTTCATATAATTTATATATTTTTTCATGATGCATTGCCCAATTAAAAACTTTCAATCATCTATGAAATTTCAAAGTTTGATTTTTTAAAAAAAGATTATAGGGGCTTTATTTTTATGTCGAAATATCTCCAAAACTCTAATGGTGATTTTTAGGCAAGAATCCAGTGGTCCTGCATATAAAAAGGTCATTGAAAATTGATATATTGGTACATCGACAGATTCATATCATGTATTACAAAATGGTTTTGGGGAATTTTTAATTAGCATTAGTAATTCGCAAAAAAAAAATTTGCGCCAAATTCTGTCTCACGTATTAATTAATTTATTTCGTGCACATAATTATGATGTAACGTTATACCTTCCCACCTGAATCTTATATATGCATGTATACTCCATGCGATCACTGCGATTTTCTGTTGTAGTGAACGGGAAGATCCTATATACTTAGATAAACCAGTTTTGCATATTATTGTTGTACACACTGGCAAACAAATATTGATGTAATATTAATATATATCTTTAAATATATGGGGGTTTTTTTTTTCATACAAATAATGCATAATTTCTTCACTTCTTACTTTTTCATTTTTAAATCATAACAAAACAACAGGAAAAAATCATGGGCGCAAATAACTCAACACTAAAGGATAAAGTTGATAAAAAGAAAAAATTCTTATCTGATGACGGAGGTGATTTTATTTCTAATAGTGATGACTATATAAATATTTTACCAATTAATGAAGATGAAGCTGCAAGGACAGATGAACTTCATTTCGTGTTAAAAACGTTAAATGGTGAATCAAATTTTGTTGCTCCCATTGATGAAAAATTGAAAGATGAAGATGGATTTAGGGTATTAGATGTCGGGTAATTAAAAATAACTAAAATAATTAAATTATTTATTTATTTATTAATCATGCATAATTTTATTAGATGTGGTAACGGATCATGGACATTGGATATGGCAACAGAATATAAAAAAGCAAAATTTACTGCATTGGATATACTGCCAATATTTCCGAATGAAATTAGACCAAAAAATGTAGATTTTGCGTTGGGAAATATCCTCAAAGGATTAGATTTCGAGTCAGACACATTCGATTATGTGTTTATGAGATGTATGAAGGCGGCCATATCAAATGATGACTGGCCAAAAGTTATACGTGAATTGTTAAGAATTCTAAAACCAAATGGTTGGTTGGAATTATGTGAAATTGATGGTGGCTTTGTTAATGGATCTCCTGAAGCTGATTCGTGTTTCAATCGAAGTAAAATTTTTTTTGATATTTGAAGATTTTAAGTTAGCCAATTAAAAATTAATTTTTTTTTTTTTATTAAAAACACAATTCTAGTGGAAGAAAAGCTCTTGAAAAAATATGGAATATCATTAGATTTGATCGAGTTGCTTAAAAAGACTTTTACGGATCGTTTTCATTCGGTGGTTGATGTACAATATATACGGAAAGATCTTCCATTGTGTAGTCGATGGGATGATCCAGATAAAAATAAAATTGCCGAAGTTTGTCGTAGAAATATATCATGGGGGGCAAAAAATATTGGTCAAGCGGTGGATTTTCTTGGTCTAAAACCTAAAGAATACGAAGAATATATCGAAAAAGTCTTTGATGGTACTAAAAATCGTCCATATTGTACCATGGCATATTATAGAATAATCGTAAGGAAAATTCCTAAATAGTGTACACGTATCTTTTGGATGGAAAATATATTTATATGCAAATAGTATAATTTTGTATTTATTAATTAATTATAGTGCATAATTTATAATTTCATCATTAACAAGTAGTAATGAATTTCAAATCGAGTAGAACAATTAACACATATATAAGTTTTGCAATCTCCAGAAATTTGAGATTAATAGAAATATCTTTTTTTTAAAAAAAAAGTACTTTATTATTATTGTTGTTGTTGTTGTTGTTATTATTATTATTATTATCAGAAATTTTATCTTGAGCTTTAATTATTTTTACTAAATTCCTAAAGCCAGCAATAATTTTATTTGGATTTTTAAGGAAAAGATAGCTGGATGGTTCTTTTAGATTAGCTAGAATCTTTTTCAATATGTCATTGTTATTCCATTTATCACTACCAAATTCTTCTTTCCCACTATTCAAAAATTTCAAAGCTAAATTCATTTCATTACAAAAAATCAATGATTTTATAAAAACTATCCAAGTGTCAATTGTTATTATTTGATTGTTTAATTTTGTTTTCATATTTATCAAGTCACTCCATATTGTTAGTAAACTTTTTATATCTTGATTTTTGCCATAAATATCTGCCAAAGCATGAAATGTTGTTACATCTGGCTTAACCTTTAGATCATGCATTTCTTTAAGACATTTTTGTACTTGATCGAATTGTTTCAAATCACCAAATCCTTGCAACAATATATGAAAAGTTACAAGGGTTGGGTTCATATTATTTTTATAAATATATAAATACCATTCTATTGCATCTTCTACATACAAATCAACAAATGATCTATTAGCATCGCCACTATTACCGCCACCACCACTGATTAGACCAGAGTGATAGAGAGCAGCTCTAAAGTTACCAGAAATCATGGTGTTAATAGTAACAATATCAACACTAATGTTCCATCTCTTTTCCATTTCTTCAAGAAAAAAATTTTTAGCATTTTCAAATTGATTATTTTTAAAATAAGCATTAATTATCTTATTGAACGTTTGTTTTGGTGGCTTTAAAGATTTATTGAGCATTTGTTTGTATATTGCGATTGATTTCTCAATATCCAGCTTATTTTCTAGATACTGAGCTATTATTGAATCAAATACCGAAGAATTCAATTTCAAGGAATTTAATTTCAAATAATCTTTAAACACAATTTCTAATTCTTTAATTTCGCCCAAATTACCAAAAACATGTATAAACGAAACGTAAATTTGATGATCCAACTTAAACCGTTTAGCCTTAAACAATTCATAAAGTTTTTTAAAATCATTAATTGACGCTTTATTTTCTATGTATGAATTTATTATTATATTTAGTGTAGTTTTGTTTGGTATTATGGATGATGGATGTCTTTCATTTTGTTGTAAAATCAATTTCCAATTCTCGAAAACTCCCTCGAATCTTTTAGTTTTTGAATATGCTATTAATAATAAATTATAAATTTCTATGTCATGAATTATTCTTGAATTTATAATATCAGATTTGATTTTTTCCATTTGTTGCAATCTCAAATCTATCTTTGTCTGATCTACTACCAATCCATTGTTCTTTAATAATTTTGCTAAATCACAATAATCTGCATACGTTAAATTTCCATTATTATTGTTATTATTGTCTCTTCTTTTTGAAGATGAAGTGTATAATGACCAGGCAATATCTACTTCATCTTTTATTATTGCATTTCTGAATATTGTTGAAATTTTTAAATTATTTCCATCGAAACTTGGTAAAGCTTTAGTTCTTGTGACAATACTTTGTTGTCTTGGTAATTGGTTAGTATTTGTGGTTGTAAGATCACAATAAATTATCCTTCTTGTTAAAAATGATGACGACGGTGATGATTTATTTTTAATTTGTCGAAAAAAGATTATTGAAAAGTTTTTAAACAAATTTTGCATTTTTTAAAAAGTTTTTTTTTGATCAAAAATTTTTTTTATCTATAATAAGAAAGATTTCCGGCAAAAATTCTTTACTATTACTTCTAAAGATACATATCTAAAAGTTTCTGAATTTAATGAATTCCCATCTTTATTTTTGATGAGAAAGCGCTCTCTCTCACAATCTATGGATGAAAAAGGAACACTATCTTTGAATTAAATGAAAATGATTTTAAGATAATCTTGAAGAAATTTTAAAATTATATACTGGTTTTGGTGGCGGGGATGATAATATTCCTATTCGTATCTCTCGAATATTCATGACATATTAAATCATATAAATCATATAATTTTTTTTATTTTTAATGTTATAAATGTTATGCTCATTATTCACAAGCTTTTATATTTATACAACTTTAAATATTATAAGCTTCTTGTTTTTAATCTCGTAGGAATTTGTTTTTATTTACGAAAACAATGAATATAAAAGAAAAAGTTTTATTTTTCGAATTGCAACGTTGTTGAAGAAAGAAATATTGAAAATGATATGGAGATTTAGGATGTCAACATCCCACATTATCAGTATAAAAATGTATACAAAGTCATAATAAATAGTTTCCCGACCATTTTTCCTTTTTGCATTTGGTGGGTAACTAAAACTCCTCAGTTTCAACAATTTAACCAATACGAAGCAAATTACACTTCAAAAATAATTATGCACGTTATAATTATGTACGCATATATTTTTTTCAGTAACATATTCCCTTACCCAAATTCCCTCAAAAAATGTTAGATTTCCCATCTCTAATATTAACACGTTCACATCATTTTGAATGATTAATGTGCTTATATACCACCTAACGTAAAGATTTTTATTAAAGATACATTATATATCCTTTCCCAGATTTACATCATGGCCAACCTTTAATGTTATTAAATATGCACATGAAATGTGCCTATTATTTATATATAATTTTCTATCCATTAATGCATATTTTTTATGATTCGGTTTTGTTTTTTTTCACCTTTGAAGTAATAAAAAAATTGAGTTGAGATTGATTTTTCTTATACTTTTTAATAATAGTTTATATATATTACCACTTTATCTGCTTATCATGTTCTATATATTAGTCGTAATGTTCTTTATAATCCAGTTCAAAAATTATTTGTCATCTTTGAAGTAATAAAAAAATTTGAATTGAGGTTGTTTTTTCTTAAACTTTAATAATGGTTTATATATGTGTATAGTGTGTGTGTGTGTGTTACTTCTTTACCTGCTCGTTCACTCACTATTTATGCTTATTATGATTGTTTTAATTTCGTTATCACTTGTAGAATTTTCTTATTTGTTTGCAATAAAATGAATATAATTAATTGATCATTAATATGATATATGATTTCTTAGTAATTAGCGATTAAAAATGTCGTTTTGAGTCCATTCAAGACCAAGCTTGAAAATTACAAAACACTCAACAATAATAGCTTGGTAGTTTATGATTTGTGTGTAACATTTATAATATTTACACGTTTAAAAAAAAAAAATGACTACTGCTGCATTTTTGGAAAGTAATTGTCCAGACTTGAAACTTATAAGTCGTGGTAAAGTACGGGATTTGTATGAAATAGATGAAAAAACTTTACTTTTTGTTGCAACTGATCGAATAAGTGCATTTGATGTTATAATGAAAAATGTGGGTAAATTATAATTATCATAATTTTTGTTAGAAATAAAAAAATTTTAAAATAAATTCTTTTAATTATTTGAAAAAAGGGAATACCAGGGAAAGGAAAAATCTTAACAAGGATTTCATTATTTTGGTTTAATTATCTAAAAGATATTATACCAAATCATTTGATAACAGCAGAATTCAGTGAAATGCCAGATATTTTACAAAAATATAAAGATCAATTAGAAAACCGATGCTTATTGGTAAAAAAATGTAAGGTCCTACCTGTTGAAGCTATTGTCCGTGGTTATATAACTGGTAATAATAATAGCATAATAAATAATTATAATCATAATTATAGAAATAATAATAATTTAATTTTCAAGGATCTGCTTGGGAAGAATATAAGAGAAAAGGTAGTATATGTGACATTGAACTTTCTAAAAATTTAAAACAATGTCAAAATTTTGATGAACCTTTATATACTCCTAGTACAAAAGCAGAGATTGGGCATCATGGTGAGTTTTTTTTCTAAATTTTAAAAATATTTCTTTAGAAAATATTTATATATTTATCTGCTGTTATTATTATTCTTATTATTATTAGATGAAAATATTCATCCCAATAAAGGTATATGTTACAAATAAGTTATTGATAAAATATTTTAAATTGATAAATTAATACATTGATGATTTTTAATTTAGTCAGTGAAATTGTTGGTGAGGAATATGCAAATAAAATTTCAGAAATTTCAATAAAGTTATATTCAAAGGTTAGTTTATTGATTATCTTAATACTTTTATCTAGATAATCAATCAATTATTTATATATTTATATATTTATAGGCCAAACTTTATGCTTTGAGTAAAGGAATCATTATTGCAGACACCAAATTTGAATTTGGGATTGATTCTGATGGACAGCTCATTTTAGTAGATGAAGTACTAACTCCAGGTATATATTATTGTTTACAACAATAACATAATAATAAATACAAGATTTAATAATCAATATTAAAATTTTAAAGATTCTTCGAGATTTTGGCCAGCTGAATCTTACTCAATTGATAAAACTCAAGAAAGGTTATTTTCGATTTTTTTAATTCTAATTTTTTATAACTTACTAAACTTAATATAAATTTATATTTATATAACAAAGTTTTGATAAACAATTTGTAAGAAATTATTTGTCAAGCATTGGATTTGATAAACAATATGGAATTGAATTACCTGAAGATATTGTCAAAAAAACATTAGATAAATATATCAAGGCCTATAAATTATTAACTAATCAAGACCCCCAAGATTTTTTTTAATATTTTTATTATTATTAATGTTGAGATAAAAAATTATGTGTTTAGATGTGGGCAAAGAATTTTGTCATTCTGTATATCAATTATAAATAAAGCTTGCTATTTAGAATAAAAAAATAAATACAATAGACATTCAACTGCCTAGATCATACAATAGTGATGTGATTCATGGATGGTCAATCTGGATATCTGCCCATTCATATTGATATATTAATATGGATTGGTGGTTTAAATGATTGAATTGAAAAAATATATAATTCATCTCATTAATTAATTGTTTATTTATTATATCATCATCATCATTATTAATTTAATCATCTTAATCATTATCTTTATTTGCAATTGCTTGTTTATATATACAATAAAATTTATATATGATTTTTTAAGATACAAATGAAAAATAAACAAGTTGCACTTGCATATTCTTCTAACTTATCCCCATAATTGATGAGTGATAAGATCTAATATTTTCTATTGCTATTGAATCAGTCAAAACATATAAAGATTATCTATTATATTAATTTATTAAAATTACCACCACAAATCATTTATATTTCACCATTTCACCAACCATACCATGACCATCTAATGAATAATTTTTTATTTGATAATTAATTTCAATTAGTTTGAGTCTTCTGTTTTGTTTTGTATTGTGTTTGTTAAGAGTATAAGCGGTGAGAATGTTTGTATGTAGCAGGGTATACAATGATAATTTCACCGAAATAAGCTTTAAAACGTCTCAAAAAAATTCAGAAAGTATGGTCCAAAAGATTAAAGAATATGTTCAGGTGATCAATTGATAGTTGACATTGGTCATTTATTTTATAGGTATTTGATCTAAATTTCGATTGGCTAATTTGGAATAGATAAAAAATGTCAGATGATGGAAGAATGTTAATTCTGCGTAACACGATAAACAAAAAAAAACCTGCTCGGCTGCATTATTCATTCTAATCATTCTAACTGAGAAAAGTTATTCAAAAACCTATAAATGTTTCACAAATATGTTTATTATTTATATTATTATTAGAAAAGTTGTTAAATAAAAAAAGTAAAAAAAATTAACCAACCATTTTACAATCATGATTTTCCTTTCTTTCTTTTCTTTACCTTTAAAAATCACAAATTCAATTATAATTAAAATAAGAGATTTATTAATTTGAGAAAATGAATAAATATAATAATGATAGTTGGGAAGATTTATTATGGCATCCTATATACAAAGCAAAGGCTATAAAGGACTACAAGAGCACTCATCCGATGGATTTATCTTTTGAAGCTGGCGATATTATTGAAGTTCTTGGAATTGGTGAGAAGGAGAAAGGGTTAATTATAGTAATAAATAATATTCAATATTCAATTAAATTACTCATTTTTTTTTATTGTGTAATTTAGAAAACGATGATTGGTTGAATGGTAATTGTAAAAATTCAAAGAAATTTGGTTCATTTCCAAAAATATTTGTCAAAGTGACAGAAAAATATCCAGAAATCGATTATGATATGATTATTGATATTTACAAAAATAAAAATAAGAATAAGAATAAAAATAAAAAGATTATTGATGATGATGATGGTGGTGATGATAATGATGGATTACAACAGCTACAGCAACCATTACCATCTCGTCCTACCACCAAAAGGAAAGAATCATATTCATCAGTTCAGAGTTATGATAGTTATGATAGAATGTCTATTTTCAGTAGTTATGATTATGAAGAAGCAGATCCACTTAGGTATTTACCAAATTTTATTTTATTTTTAATCTTAATGAGTAATATAATAATGAGTAATATACTAATAATGTTGTTATAATGATGTATTTAGTAATTGTACAGTTGTTTTATATTCTGATCTTCAAGGTGATCAACTTGATTTATCAGGTGATTTTTATATAATTTATATATATATATATTATTTATTTATTTAATATCATTAAATTGATAATTTACTAAAATAATTATGCATTTGATAGAATATGATTTTTCAACAGTGGATGAATATGCACGTGAGACCCCAGAATCCAATACACATTCCATAAGAAGTTTATCACATTATCTTACTTCTGTGTGGGATGATCCGTTATATAAATTACGTGCTATTTTTGTATGGGTTGCTGATAATATCACTTATGACACCGAATCTTTGTATTCAGGTATTATTATAGTAATAAATAAAAATAATGATAATTTTTTAATTAATTGATTAATTAATGGAATACTCTTGCTTGTATTTCCTTTTTATTAAGGAAAAAGGAAAAGTCAAAATGGAAAAGACATTTTAAAAAGTAGAAAAGCAGTTTGTGCTGGATACAGTGAATTATTTAATGATTTAGCAGTTGATTCTGGTTTGGATACATTTAGGATAAGTGGTGCTGCTAAAGGTATGAATTTTTCTAATTTGTTTTAAAAACTTTCATATATATATTTGTATTTATTAATATAAGTTGTTTAGGTGCCGGATATACTGTTGGCTCTCCGATTGTTTCAGCAGAATACGCACATGCATGGAACTGTGTTAAATATAATGGAGAATATTTATTAATTGATTGTACTTGGGGTGCTGGTGTTGTGGAAGAAAGAAAATTTAAGAAAAATTTTAATGACTTTTACTTCCTTGCATCGCCAAACCAATTTATCTATAGTCATTTACCAGAACAACCAAAACATCAATATATTGGACCTACAATTACAAAGCCTGAGTTTATTAATTTACCATATGTTAAACCATCATTTTTTAAATATGGGTTAATATTTAAACATTTTTATGGATGTGAAATTGTAATTAAGAATGATATGTTGTGTATTGAGTTGGAACAAACGAAATTGCTTGATGAATCAATTAATTTTGCTGTTAATTTAGAATGGAGTAATACTCGTAATAAAGATTTATGTTTTTATCAAAATTTTCATATGATTGGAAATAATGGAGGTAGAGTGCATAAAATATCCTTTGGATGCCCTAATCGTGGACAAGGGCAATTATCAATGTTTCTTATTCCTGAGGGTCAAACATGGGTAAATATTTGGGAGAGGGGTTTTTGTGCAATGTTTTATTTTAATCACTAAAATAAATTTTCATTAAATATTTAAAAAAAGGGAGAAATGACCGCTTCTTTCAAAGTTAAAAACCAAGGGAGTGGACTTAAAAATCGGCAATTTGTTTTAAAATATGATTCACCATCATTCAAATTTACTATAATTAGACCTATAACAAAAATTCTTGGCTATGCTAAAAAATCAAAATTTGAAATTATAATTGTTAAAAACAACCACAATAATAGGAGTAAAAAAGATAATCCACCAAATTTATTAATTTGTGATGCAGACTTTGGGAAAAAAGTTAATTTGGAACCATCAACTACTGATAATGATTATTGTTTTGAGGAAGGTGTTGTTTATTATTCAGCTGATGTTGTGTTAAATCATAAAGGTATTTGGAGAATAGGTTATGAGTCAGGACCAAACAGCTATGGATTTTTAGCAGAATATGAAGTTAAATAGAAGTTAAATGCAAGATATTAATAATAGCTATATCATTCATTATAAGATAATAATTTAGTTCTTAATTGTATTTATTTCTCTTACCTTAATCGGTTTTCATTTTCAAATGGATTTGACAAAAATAGTGGCAAAGAAGCCTTTGCATAATTAATTATTATAATTCTCTAATGTAAATCAAATAAATATATAAATATATTTTTCCCCCCATACATTTATATATAATATTAATCATTGTAATTATAATTCCGAAAATCAATTCAAAGTTTAACTCCTTTTTTTTTGATTTAGATACAGCTATCTATATAGATGGTTTATATATAAACAATGAATGTGTTAAAATACCATTATTCATATGGAGCTGGATTAGAGAAAGGTCAAATAGTATAGTGAATCTTAATAAGCTAACTTGAAAGTGTGTTATTTACAAGATAAATATATATAATATATATTTCTATCTTCCCAACAAATGTTACCTGGAAATCATCTACGCTAATGCTTAAAGACTCCTGAATAATGAAATGCACTTTGAATAAGGTTTCCTTAGGACACATATAAGGTTTTCCATCAAGTGGAAGTTCGTTGTATTCATCATTACTGCATTCATCTAAGTTATCATTATGTTCATTGGATTCATCACCATCTGTATCATTATTTGCATCAATTTCATCAAAGGAATGTTTTTAATGAGTATTGTCAGCAATTAAAGGGAAATTAAGGGTTTGTCTGTTGCGGTTGATTTATTGTATTAGAAGGTATAGTTTCTTTATTATGGTCTATAGATTTATTTTTACCCTTTTTGTGGCTTGAATCTAAACGCGTAATAGATATTATAGGGAAATCAAGGGTCGTTTGTATACATTTTTGTTGTGAGCATTCCCCATTATTTTCGTGAGAAATTTCGTGAAAAAAAAATAAAATAAATTTTTTCAAATTGATCATATGGTGTGGTAACACCAACTATATTTTATATATATGAATTTATCCTGTTACTAACAGGAACATTTTATAAATTATTAATAAATTTACCCTTATACTAGCCAGGAGGCAAAAAAAACTTTACCCTGTAAAAACTTGAACATTTTTTAAGGTACTATTAATTTTACCTATAGCTTAGCCAGAAACTTTTGGAAATTTTTTATATAAACTTTACCCAGTCTACATGATGGGAACATCTATATAAGTTTCCGGGGTCCTGTTGGGATTCTCATTTTACTGGTTCCTCTGGAGAAAAGGTCTGTGGCCAGATTTCTGAATAATTCTCTTTAGGCTGAACTAAATAATCCTCTAGCTTTTGAAACCCATTTTTGACTGAAGAGATCGTGGGTTTTTTAACTCTACTTTCTTTTGCCGATCCAAGGAGTCGAAGATTAAAGTGTGATTTGTAAAGTCCAATATCAATAAATTTGGAATAAGGCTCTCCAACTGATTCAATGACTTTTTCCACAAAACCTTTAAGGTCTTGATAATCAATAAATCGAGTATGGGGATAAATAATATGCCAGCTACATTTATTAATATTTGATGAACTTGCCAAAGCAAAGTTATTTAATGATACCATGCAACCCAATGTGGAATATATCTATGCAAGCAACTAAAATTCGAGATAACAAATCTTCACGAGTAATTTTTTCACTATCTAAGGAAGGAAGTTCAGGATTTGTAGGATCAGATTTTTGCCTTGCATCAATATCAATTATCAAGCGAAGAGGCTGGTTCCCATCAATACATTCATGTGTATTTGGCATTCTATAAACTTCTATAGGATGATCGATCACTGTATAACCTTTTCCCGCCACCTGGATTATATATTGAGAATAAATCTCTTCGGGTTGGTATGCCTCTAAAAGTGCAGTATCATTTTTATCAGTATGGCCATTGGATGCAAGCCAGTATTTATAATATATATGTTCTCCATGGCCAGGTTTATAGTCAAGATCCGTTAAACCTTTGAGAATTATTTTTGCCTCATTATATTCGGCCAATTTTTGATTTAGACGCTGTCGTTGTAACAATTCACATAAATGTTTTTTTGATTCACTAGATAATCTCATTTTATTGATTTGTATGTATGCGTTGTTTGATCTGACAAAAAGTATATGTAGTATTATTTTGAAACTAAAATAATTGATAGATAAATCTTTAAAATAAAATTAATTATTCCAAAAATTTCAGCAAACCAAGTTTGCCCAAATAATATAAATTTGGTTGAAGTAATTATTATATACAAAAACAATAAAACCCAATGGCATTCTATCATTGCCAATATATTCACAGAACTGGAAAAATCTGTGGTTGAGGATGTCATCATCCTAAAGGATGCTATATTCATTGTAAATCTCCAGTACATACTCCTTGTAGAGATTGTGGTGAGCTAAATAGTTATATACATAATGCATTGGGGTGTTACAAATTATAATAAACACAAACATAGTTGAGCACACATATAAAAAATCATATGTGCGGATTCTTCACCGATCAATATATGTAAATTTTTTCAATATGAAAATTCAAACTCTATCTCCTCTAGATTTGTAAAATAAACCTTTGT